TCCTGTGGTGGGAAGAACACCTCAGCAGTCCAGCACCCTGGCATTTAATTTCAAAAAGGGGAATTACACAAAAATAAAGAGGTTAGTTAAACAGAAACTAAAAGGCACAATGACTAGAGCCAAATCCCTGCAAGCTGCATGGAAACTTTTTAAAGACACCATAATAGAGGCCCAACTTAAATGTATATCCCAAATTAAAAAACATAGCAAGAGACCTAAAACAGTGTCACCGTGGCTTAACCACCATGTAAAAGAAGCAGTGAGGGACAAAAAGGTACCTTTTAAGAAGTGGAAGTCCAATCCTAGTGAGATAAATAGAAAGGAGCATAAACACTGTCAAATCAAGTGTAAAAATGTAATAATAAAAGCAAAAGAAGATTTTGAGGAACAGCTAGCCAAAAACTCAAAAAGAAATAACAAAATGTTTTTTAAGTACATTAGAAGCAGGAAGCCTGCTAAAAAACCTGTGGGTCCCCAGATGATCAAGCTATAAAAGGAGCAATCAAGGACGATAAAGCCATTGCAGAGAAACTAAATGATTTCTTTGCTTCAGTCTTCACGGCTGAGGACGTTGGGGAGATTCCCGAATCTGCACCGTCCTTTGTGGGTGATGAATCTGAGGAACTGTCCCGGATTGAAGTGTCATTAGAGGAGGTTTTGGAACAAATAGAAAAACTTAATGTTAACAAATCTCCGGGACCGGATGGCATTCATCCAAGGGTTCTAAAAAAACTCAAATGGAAAATTGCTGAGCTATTATCTGTAGTTTGTAACCTATCCTTTAAATCGGCTTCCGTACCTAATGACTGGAAGGTAGCCAACGTGACACCAATATTTAAAAAGGGCTCTAGAGGCAATCCTGGCAATTACAGACCGGTAAATCTAACCTCAATACCGGGCAAATTAGTCGAAACAATAGTAAAGAATAAAATTGTGAAGCATGTAGAAGAACATAATTTGTTGGACAAAAGTCAACATGGTTTCTGTAAGGGGAAATCCTGTCTTACTAATCTATTAGAGTTCTTTGAAGGGGTTAACAAACATGCGGACAAGGGGGATCCAGTAGATATAGTATACTTGGATTTTCAGAAAGCCTTTGACAAGGTCCCTCACCAAAGGCTCTTGTGTAAATTACATGGCCATGGGATAAGAGGGAAGGTCCTTTCTTGGATTGAGAACTGGTTAAAAGACAGGAAACAAAGGGTAGGAATAAATGGTAAATTTTCAGAATAGAGAGGGGTTGTCCCCCAAGGGTCAGTCCTGGGACCAATCCTTTTCAACTTATTCATAAATGATCTGGAGAAAGGGGTAAGCAGTGAGGTAGTAAAGTTTGCAGATGATACCAAACTGTTTAGGATAGTCAAGACAGAAGCAGACTGTGAGGGACTCCAAGAAGATCTCACCAAACTGAGTGATTGGGCAACAAAATGGCAAATGAAATTTAATGTGGATAAGTGTAAAGTAATGCACATCGGGAAAAATAACCCCAACTATACGTACAGTATGATGGGGGCTAATTTGGCTACGACAAATCAGGAAAGAGATCTTGGAGTTATCGTGGACAGTTCTCTGAAAACTTCCACACAGTGTGCAGCGACGGTCAGAAAGGCAAATAGGATGCTAGGAATTATTGGGAAAGGGATAGAAAATAAGACCCAGAATATCTTACTGCCCCTGTATAAAACTATGGTACGCCCACATCTTGAATACTGTGTACAGATGTGGTCTCCTCACCTCAAAAAAGATATTTTGGCCTTGGAAAGGGTTCAGAAAAGGGCAACTAAAATGATTAGGGGTTTGGCACAGGTCCCATATGAGGAGTGGTTAAAGCGACTGGGACATTTCAGTTTAGAAAGAAGGAGACTGAGGGGGGATATGATAGAGGTCTATAAAATCATGAGTGGTGTGGAGAGGGCTGATAAAGAAAAGTTATTTATTAGTTCCCTAAATAGAAGAACTAGAGGACACCAAATGAAATTAATGGGGAGCAGATTTAAAACTAATAAAAGAAAGTTCTTCTTCACACAGCATGTAGTCAACCTGTGGAACTCCTTGCCAGAGGAGGCTGTGAAGGCTAGGACTATAATAGAGTTTAAAGAGAAGCTAGATAATTTCATGGAGGTTAGGTCCATAAAAGGCTATTAGCCAGGTGATAAAATGGTGTTCTTGGCCTCTGTTTTTTAGAGTCTGGAGAGAGATGGCAGGAGACAAATCGCTTGATCATTGTCTTCGGTCCACCCTCTCTGGGGCACCTGGTGCTGGCCACTGTCGGTAGACAGGATACTGGGCAAAAAGGACCTTTGGTCTGACCCAGTACGGCCGTTCTTATGTTCTCCTGTCAAATTTAAAAACAAGCCACCTAAAAGCTTTAAACCTAAACATTCAATGGCCATTAATTTGAGACCATAACAATTGCTAGATTTTAACTTGATGCCTTGTTGGCAACCGAAAGGTAAATATCCATCGGTAGGAAAATGTGGAATCATTATGATTGTCGGGGCAAACGTGTGTTGTATTTAATTGTAGAAGCCTGGCAAAATATCAAAGAGCATGGAAAAAAATGCAGAGGAAAGAGACAGACCAGAAAAGAAAAAAACCTGCTGCTGTTCAGCCTTTTTGTTTCACTGCTGGCTGGGATTATTAGCCTGCAGTAGCTTTCCTCAAACACACAGAACCCAGCCAAATTACATAAAATATGTATTTAGAGTGCCTTCTTAAAATGCCTTAAGAGCTGTGCAAAATCCATTGGAAGGAAAATGCAATTTTCTATGTTTACCTGGCCCTGGCCCTGGCCCTCACAAGTTTTTCTCCAGCATACAGAGATGACAGAGTCAAGTTATAGCGCTATACACTTGTCATTATGTATGTGATCACAACTAAGGAATGTGTGACTGTATTCTTATCTCTTTGTTAGGTCCAGAAAGAACACTGGAAAGTCCCAACCCTGAAACATTTATACAAATGTTTAACTTTACTGCTGTTGGAAGTTTACCCCTGATTTCAAATGTATTAAGTATATGTATGAAATATTTTGTAGGATTGAGGCCTTAAAAAGTATTAACAAAATTGCCTTCTGTAGAAGCATTCTATTGCATCAAATAAAAAACAAAAGTTCAACCTAGACCTGGATGAGTTTTTTTTTAAATCACCTAAACATCTCTAGAAAATTCATTTTGCTCTTCATCTACTGAAATGCATTTTGCACACTTTAGCGTTCTCAATAGACACAGGAACACTGCATAGTAAATATTGCTACAAAATTTTAAATCAAATTGTTTCCGGTACACACATGGGATTGTATAATCAGTTATGGCATGGTCTCTCTCTTTCTCTCATTATTATCCTGAATGACAAAATGCTTGGGAAGACTTCATTTACTCAGGGATCCTGAAATGCTACAGAGGTCTACTTTTTAATTTAGGAATAAGCAAAAAAGATAACAATAGACAATTGTTTCCCATCATTCACAAAACATGTTTTTTGTTGCCAAGCTTAAAGCTATCATGAGATATATAGGTGTACTTATGTATAAAAATGCAGAAATAACAAAACCATGCCACTTACACTGGAAAAGCTTAAGTTACAGCTTACTTTATAAGATGTTTGAGAGTAAGTCCGTATCCTATAATGCAATGTATTACAGTCCTTTATTAAAGTCAACTGGACTCAGAGAATAAAGCATGGATCTCAAACTCAATTTATCTTAGGGCCAGTCCTACTCCTTGAACCCTCCTAGAGGATCAGCGGGCACTCCCTCTGACTGTGGCTCTTGAGGGGGTAGGGATCTCTGCGCATCTCCTGCTTTTCCCCCCACATTTCCTGACCCGACCTGCCCACCTGTGCTCTCACTTCCCCACACAGCCCAGGCCCGCCTGCTGCCACCTGGTAATTTAAAAACACTCGGAGAGGGTCTGGCTGCTACCATTGGCAATGCAGTAGACATAGAGCAGGTTCTGGCTGCTAGTTCTGTAGCTCTGTGTCGTTGTGCTCTGGGAACATCCATGTGAGCAACTGGGTTGGCCTGGGCGATGGCGGCGGAGTGGAGCAAGCTGCTCTGTCACTCCACTTCTTGGTGGCCCAGCTGCCATGGTGAGCATGGAAGGCCCAACAGTTGCTGCTGCCATGTGGAACTTCTTGGGTTGCCAATGGCCTGTGGGACTGTGAGTTTGAGTTCTCTGCAGTAAAGCGATTCCACTGCGCAGCACGCCAGAGGGCACAATCAGGGACCTTAAAATGACCGGGTCCTGCATTTGAAGTTCGAAAGTTCTAAATAATTAGGATTCATCTTTTTTTTTTTAATGGGGCAAGTACAATGGAGCTGAGCAGATTACAACAGGCAGCACTCTTAACTTGGAAATTACAAAACCAGATTCCACACAGAAAACAAGTTTATAAGAAACAATTACAATTCTTTAGTGATCCCTTTCAGTCAAACCCAGACCAGGTTTCCCCAGGTACCTCCCCGTTTACATGTATTAACCTGCACCGCTTGGGGACGACTTGCCCCCTCGTTATTTCCCACTGTATCTGCTTGACTATTGATCTAGCGCCCTGATCGGTGGATTGACAATTAAGGTCTGCAGGCCGCCTGCTGCCCTAAACCCCCAAGGGCTGAATCAGACCTGCAATCCCCTGGCCCCGGTGCTTTCAGACCTGAGCACAGCGGATGAGATTCGGACAGATGCACCCTGCTACTAAAGCAGGAGCGCGCAAATACCCCCCCCCCCCCCCGGCGCCCCGAGACAGCGGGGACCTACCAGTGTCACAATGGCTGCGAGCGGCCGGCGGCCTTTTGCTCCCTTGGCTGCACCTGCGGCTCGGGCACCCGCTGCCCTCACCTGGGCTCCCGGGTGGCAGCCAGGCCCATTCCATTCCCCCCTCCCCCCTCCCGGGTCCTATCCGCCGTCACTCCCTTCCCCCCTCAGCGCTCCACTCATTTGCATATTTTTACCTTTCTGGTTGAAGTGCAGCCAATCAGCGCGCGCGGCGACGAGCGCGGCCCCCCTCCCTCCGCACGAGATGCCAGCGTCCGGGCCGGCGCGAGCGAGTCCGGGCGGGCGCGCGAGTTGCCAGCGCACTGCGGGCTCCAGCTGCCCCTGCCAAGGAGCGCCGAGCGTTCGGACACCAGGCGCCAGCCCGAGGAGCCGCGCCACTCCCGCCTGCAGCAGCCCCCGCCGCCAAGGGCGCTGGCGCGATGGTTTGCGGTGGCTTCACCTGCTCCAAGAACTGCCTGTGCGCCCTCAACCTGCTCTACACGGTGAGTGGCGGCCGCCTCTCCCGGCGCGGCTCCAGCCCGTGCTCCCGGGGCTCCGTGCGCCCCTTCCCCGCTCGCAGGAAGAGGGCGAGCAGCTCCCCTCCTGGCTCGCCGTCTGTGGCTGGAGAGGCTGGGGCGTTGCGCCGGTTCTGCCCCCCCCGCTAGCCAAGGGCCCCCAGAGCCAGCTTGGCTCCGCAGCCGCGGAAAACGACGGGATGTCCAACCCGAACCGACTCACTCCGCCTCCCCTGGCTGGGGAGCCTCCTTCCAGGGATCAGCAGCTGCTCCTGGCTGTGCAGCACCTGCAGGGAGCTCAAAGAGCAGCAGCTGCTGGGGCTCGGAGTCCGGCTCCCCTGACAGCCTCTTCTAAGGGGGCGTCTGCTAGAATTGTATACGGGTGGTGCAGAAATCTCTCTGTTCCCCCTGTGGGGGAGGGGAGCCGCTGGGATTGCCATGTGAGCCTTTCTACTGCTGATTTTATTGATCAAGAAGAATCAGTCTGGTTGCTAATGCTAGCGAACTACTGGGTGTTTTTTTTTTAAACCATCCTCTTGCCCTGGTGTCTTGTAAATTGGAGCAACGTGTCTCGTTTCAGATCAAAATCCACTTTAGTCTCCTTGAGACTGGTTCTTATCGGTATTTAGTCAGTAACTGCTGAGTAGTGCACCTTAGGCTCTGGAAGGTTGAGGGTTGGGTTTTTTTCTTTCCCTTGATTTCCACCTGGTTAAATCATCTTCTTGTCACCCTACGTTTAGTTTCTTGTTGTTTTATAAAAGAAGACAAACCAAGGAAGTGAGGAAACACGTTGTAAAGCCTGAATTTCATTTGGTTAAAGTTGAAAATAAATCTGCTTGCATCTTTTTCACTTGAGAAGATCTCCTTAACCAGTCAAGGAATAAGGAAGGCTACTTTATTCAATTTTTTTTGGCCATAGTGCTTAATACAGGTCATATAGGTGCTTGTATAGGTCCCTTCAGCATGGTTACATGTGAAACTTGTATTTGTGTGTCATTTAGGCACTGAAAAATCTAGGTTGCACCTATGAGCAAGTTCATTCAATATAGAGACTTGTACACACACAGTTGGTGGCAGGGGTATGTGAGGGAGAAAACAGAATCTCAGGTCTTCTGCACAATGTACTGAATGATGTCTCAGTTGGTGTCCTGCCTGGGGTGCTATTTGAAAGATAACACTCTAAAGTAATTTCTCTCTTTTTTTTTTCCTCCATCACATAGTCAAGTAGTAGCCATACCCAAGGAACCCAGCAGAGCCTATGGGCAGCTCAGTGCCACCATGGGGGGGGGGGGATGACTTGAATTCAGTTACATTATCATGTTTTAAACTTCTGCACAATTTTATGTGAGGTGGCATTTTGACAACTTTAAATAAAACAAAATTTTTTATTTTGTTTGTGGTTGGAAGAAGAGCATTGCCGCCTTTCCTCTCCACATCCCATCTGACCATTGTTGGAAATGTTGTGGTTAGGAAAAACAAATGGGACTTATCAATATGTATGGAGCAAAACCTGTTGCCTATTGCAAGCCTTAAGATTTGTGTCTGTAGATCTTGAGTCACACAAGTATTGGTAATGGTGTTTTTCTCAGTTGGCCTTACAGGGCCTGATCCTGCAAGATGCTGAGTCTATTCCGTTCTTTGAGAGCTGACCCAACAATATTAAAAACCAAAGTGATCAAATCATGGCAGTGCTGCTGCCTTAAACTGATTTGAATTTCTAAGTAGGAAGAAATGTATAAAGCAACCAAAGCATGAATAAAAACAAACTGGATTTTACAAAAATGTATCCATTTCAAATAATCGAATGTGTGAATAACACGACTTAAAAAATCTTTCCAATATATGAGTTAGTTGATGTTATCTCTTGAACAATTTCTGTGGCTAGAAATGGGATGCTGCTATGATGTGTGAGGTGCCTGTTGATATTGCATAGTTATAGTGAATTTATCTTGGAAATTGCAGGTTCTGACTGTAGCCTCTAGAAGATAATTAATATTCTGTTTTTTTATCCTAATTTTTAAAACAAAAAAGCAGGCTATTACAAATCACTTTTGGCACTAAGTTTCTGCTCCTGTCATGAACAGTAGCTTTGACTGTGACAACTCAATTGCTGTAAATTGAACCAATCCTTAAATGAAAAGTGGTTTTTTTTTGGGGGGGGGGGGTTCTTTTTCGGTTTGCAAAAAGCCTAAAATGTTTCTGCCATACATGGGATAATTACTGCAATTTGCAATTTGTTTTATGTGGAAGATTTTGGGACCTATGTAGAGCCTCACTGAGTATACAGTACAGGGATTCAGTGCAGGACTAGAGAATCCAATCTGCCCACATATAGTCAATTGAATTTGAGTACAGTACTGTAGTTGCACTGGAGTCTGTGGGATTAGTTACATACTTAAAGTTATGCACTTAAGTGCTTTTTCTTGATTGAAGACATACTGCGAAAATTGTTTAGATTTCAAATTGATGTTCCTTAAAATACAAATCAATTAAGACACTATTTTAATTTCAGATCTGTGTCAATATTGGCAGTTATTACTGTTGTGTCTTTTGAAAACGTATTTTCCTCCTATTGCTATTCCAAAGAGTAAAATGACTGTCCACAAAGTACTCTGAAGTAAAAGTATGTATTTATGTACAACATTAGCAGCATACTTTTTATATATAATCTTTGAGTTGGTAATTGCACTAATATTAGTAGGCTTTTCTCTAAGTAGGCTGTATCTCTTTAATGAGTATGGTTGACTAAAGATGCTGGCAATTAATAGTTTCTTCAGTGAGTTTCTCAGAAGGGGAATGTTGACCTCTCAGTTTACAATCAAAAACTGAAAAGGTAGCTGCTCTGTAAGGATTAATTTAACTAAAGACCATCTGACAACCATCTCACCAAAAATCATTGATCTTGTATCATCTGATCATTTTGAAATTTTTAATTTTTAAAAACTTGCAGTATTGAAACTTGGATTTTTTTTTTAATTTATTGAATAAGTGTTGTGCTTAATTTACAGATACTTACTGTAGATGTTGTGGCATCATTTTTCTAATTAAAAGTGTGAGATTTTTAGCTCATACAATGTTTGTTATATAACATCACCTCGTTTCTATAATTAATGGAAAATACTAAATATCTAATTAGAAAAATGTGCCATTCATATAGGGGTTTGCTAGTAATTGAGTTCACGTTTGTCTGCAGAGTGTATGTAAAACTGTCAAACTTCAGTATTACTTTGTATGCAAATCATGACAATTTCTACACCGTATTTCTGTAATGCTGCCTGTTATGCTGATGGATTATGGTAATTATAGATGATGAAATTATTGGATTAATAATGCCTCCTTTCTCTGTTTTTCAACAATGTTCCCTTTCCTTATCTTCCACTATATAACCTGAAAATAAAATTGGCTCTGGATTAAGGATGTTAAGAAGCAGATATTGGGCTAATCGTGTAGTTAATACCATTTGTATTGACTAAACCAGTGCTTCCCAATCTTTTTTTATACTGGGGACCAGTAAACCCATTCACAAGCTTTTGGAGGACCAGTAACACTTATCTGCATATTCATTAAGCAAATGATGAATATGCAAATAAATTGTTTCTGGTCCTCCCAAAGCCCTCAGTGCCAACAGGTGTGGGCCCAGTCGACTGCCCTGGGCGGTTTCCTGACCCCAACCCCGAGGTATCTACTTCGCCCCTGTTTGGGACCGGTATGGTTAGAAGTTCCCTCTCAGGCCTGCCAGGTGACTCAGCTCGTATGGGCCCTGGAGGTCGGTGAGTAGCCCTGTGTCCTCTTCCCCAGTCGTGCCTGCGCTGGTGGGTGAAACCGAAGGTCTCACCCTGCCCCGGGGCGTGTCACTGGCCCTACCTGTCCGGCGGGTTGTTCCGCCCCTCGCCCTCTTGGCCCCAATGTTGGCCACTTTATTGGCTGGTGCTGGCTGCATCCGGCGTTCTGTGTTGGCGTTCTCCCTGGCCGGATCTAGCCCTGCCATCCGGGACCATGCCCAACAGAGACTCCACAGCACCAGTCTCTCTCACAAGAATCATGCGTGAAAATGTTTCTGAGGATCGGTATTTTTTTTTCCCTAGGGACCACACTTTGGGAAATGCTGGACTACACAATTAGTAGATAAGGGGAAGTGCTCTGCAGAGCTGCAGCAAAGGTAGCTCTTGGAGCCAGTGTGAACTGGGACTGAGTCCCAGCTCATGTCAGCTCGATGACTGCTGTGGCTCTGCCTTTTAAATGTAATAAGTGCTGCAGGGCTCTTACTACGTTTAAAATGCAGAGCTGCAGCATGGATGGTTCCCAGAGCTGATGTGAGCCGGGACTTAGTAGTCCCACCTTGCGCGGGGTCCAGGACTGCTGTGTCTCTTCCTCTCCCCCCTCCCTCTTCTCTCCCCTCCTGCCTGCACAGCAGAGACAGTGCTGGAGGGAACCAGTCTGGCAGGGAAGGTTGGGGCTTTCTTCTCTCCCTCTCCCCATGCCCTTTGAGCAGGGAGCCAGAGATTGTGCTCCAGCCTCATGGTTGCCTGGCAGCCGCAAGGCTGGAGCGATGTGGGCTCCCCACTATATGGAGGTTGGGGGTGGGGAATTGAGCTCGAGCTATGGACCTCCTGTAAGACAGCCACGGATCACACTTTGAGAACCACTGATGTATCTAGCAGTGATTCTCAGCGGTGGTAAGCATACCCTTGGGAGTACACAGTGGTTTTCCAGGGGGTACCAAACTCCTTTACATCAGTGTTTCTAACATAGGCAGTTGCAGCATAGGTTTAGCAGAGTTACAGGTGTAGGGCTTGCAAGTATGGCAATTGCCTGTGACCCCACGAACCTAAGATACATGCTTCATCTCTGAATGGGTGAAAAAACACTATCCAGAGTGTGTAAATTGGTTTGTTTGGTGACACACTGCTACCACTGCCCATTGGGGTGGTGAAAGAGAACACTTTCCTGCTGGTGTAGAGCAGCTGCACAGTAGTCCCTAACATAGA